AAATGTAAATCACAATGGAGCCAATGCATATGCCTCCCAAATCTCATCTAGCAAGCTGCTTGATTTGACTTTTATCGGTAGGTGGAATTGAAACAGAGAAAAAAAAAAGGAGTTGTAGTACACTCAAATATAAAAGAAAGAGCCAAGCAAATGTATTTAAGAAACATTATGTACAGCCCTGAAAGGGAAAACACCATAAGACAAATATAATGGATAGGTCACTGTCCTATTTCTCCAATACAGTTCAACTGTCCAGAAAAGTTACACTTTATTCTTTCATAGGATTTTGGCTACTTCATTTTCTAGGATGCATGTGGTTTGTGCTGTGTATTGATGCACTTTATGTGTTGTCCCAAGCCACTGCTTTGTGCAAAGACCATGTGAAGGCTATAATAGTATCTTTGAGGGTATATTTATATTGACCCTGATTTAATAGTGGGACATTTAAACTGTTAAAACATAACACTGATTCGATGTCATCTTAAGGTAATGTGAGCAAACAGCTACTTATTTTGTCAGGGACTCGAAATAGATAAATTAGCATTCATTTGACGTTGTTCCTGGCTAGACCTCTCGATGAACACTTGTCCAATATTTCCTGAGTTTTCACAAAACAAGGGGCTAAAAGATGCTAAAGTGCTCTGTAGAACTAAGGGGATGCTCAGAGCTGGTAGTAATTATGTTTGGATATATCACAATGAGCAACGTATATGATAATATACACCTGATCCTACTGCTTATATAAAACTGGGTGTGATTGTGCCTGTTTATGTCTTACTTCTTTTCGCATGAACAGTTTTCCCAGCATGTTGGAGTAAGAGAAGTAGACCCCTGCTGAAAAGCGCTGCAACTGGGACTGAATGCTGTCCTCTTCAGGCATCATGTCTTCAAGTAAGAAAAAATAAAAAATGTTCACAGTTATAAGCTTGTTGGAAATGTCCAGAATATATGATAAAAGCAATACTCACTGATAGATGGGGCGGCCATGGATGGTGGGTCAGGGATATCCTGCAAGGTGGATGTTGGGTGTGGAGGAGCTGGTGGAAGGTCTGTTGGGAAAGGTGGAATCTGCTGGGATCGCTGTGAACCAAACAGGTCTTCCAGGGACTGCTGCTTCTGTTTCATGTTGTTGGAGATGATTTGGGAACCCCTCCCGGAAGGAGGCTGCTCACTTTTAGGCTTGGCTGGTGGTGAAGGAGGCAGGCACTTTTTCTGCACGCAATAAGGACAGAAAATATAATATTGCATATTGCATTTCACATTTTATTTTGTACAATACTTAATTGTAAATGAATAAATACACGCTTTTCAGCAAACTACACTCAAAACCCATGAAGACAAAGCAGTTTATTAAAAGTCAAAACTCACAGCCTTGCCTGCTAAAATCTTTCCTGAGATCTGTCAAGAACTTCATTCTAGAGTTGTACTGTGGCAAAATGAATAACATTAAAAACAACCAGAACTCCTGCTACAGTTGGTTGTCCAGCGAAACTGAGTTTGGGGAAATAAGGGCCTTGTAAGGGAGGTGACGAAGGACACAACAATCACTCTAACAGTGGTCTTGCATAGTCAGACTCCACAGTAATCTATCAGTGGTAGAGAATGGTCTGGCAACAAACATAATAATTTAGCAATATGTGAAAAAGCTATAATACCACTATGCAGTGACAGTTTACAATTAAATCTATAACATAATAAAATTAGCACAAAGGGAAGGGGTCTGAGCACTTGCTGTTTCAATTGTATTTCTGAGAAAAGTACTAGTGTAAACCTGTCTTAGAAAAACATAGAATGATTGTGGAGGTGGATAAGAGAACTCTCCCTGGATTGAAAAGGCAGCAGCAGAGCTGCCAGGGTAGGCATATGAGGAGGAACATAAGGAGGACACAGACACAGAGCTGAGGAACCTGAAAAGGGAATTGAACAATTAATGTTTTCGAGAAAAACTGTAAAAAAAAAACAAAACAAAAAAAGGTTTTAACCTATAATAATTAACCTATATCCTTCCACAATTTTGGATAAGTTGACACCAAACTTGCTACACTGCATCATGACATTGTCCTCTACAAAAGATCCAACCAGATTATTGTTTTGTCAAAAATTTAGCCCACAGTGCATCAAAATGTTTTACTGTAAACATTGCGATAAACAGATACTGGAAATTCTTGCTAAATAAATTCCCAATGTTCACAAAAATTAGTGACAAAATTCTTCTCATGCAACGTGAAATATTTCAGAATTTTTTCTGAAACAGAATTTTTTTTAATGTTTTGAAATTTATCATGTCACCTTTTGCAGTCAATGGAAATCTATCATCTTTAAACATCAGTTTCTCACTCATGGAGCAATCAAACTTTGTGAAAAGAAATCATAGACATCTCTATACTGTCTAGCACAGAGGTAGCAAAAGTACTCACATTCTTTTCTTAAGTAAAAGTACAGATACTTGTGTAAAAAAAGACTCTGGTAAAAGTAGAAGTACTGATTCAACTCCTTTACTCAAGTAAAAGTAAGAAAGTACAGGCTCTGAAATCAAAGGTTATAGGCAAACAAAGTAGGATAGTTTTCCTCTTTTGTTAACAACCTACACAGAGCTGGTACAGAGAAACAAAAATCATTGTCTAGTCATCGTCAGTCTAGTTTTGCTGCCAAATTTCAGACAGAATAATAAAGACTGAACTGAACCGAGGTCCTGCATGAGCACCTGGATATTTTTTTACAGGGAATAAATGGATGGGGAATGCAATGGCCTTGATTAAGTCCCTGCCCTTTGTACACACCACTCGTCGCTACTACCAATTGGATGGTTTAGTTAGGTCCTCGGATCAGCCCGCCGGAGTTCGTCACGGCCCTGGTGGAGCACCGAGAACACGATCAAACTTGACTAACGTCAACAAACGTGACGCTTAGGTCTTGCGCTGCCTTCACAGGCTCCGGTGGCAGCGGGCAAGAGAGTGAGCGAGAAGTGCTCCGTGCGTAAAAGCGTAAAAACAAGAAATGATCCAGTTTTGAGAATGTAAGGAGTACGAAGTACAGATAATTGTGTTCAAAAAAATCTAATTCAGTACGACAAAGTATTTGTACATCATTAATTTACACCTCTGGTCTAGCAGAAGTAAAGAATTCCAAAAATTTTACTTGTATAGCTCAAGGCACTTTATAGAGAAAGTCAAGATCTTAAAAATGATCAAAATGTTATCTTGATAAGTGAATCTTTTACAGAACTATTGCAGTCAGCAGCCCTGTAGACTGCCATTATTCATAGTGTCAAGTTACATCATGAGTGAAGTGATGTCACTTATGTCTATTCAAGCAAAATGCATCATGAAAAATTAATTTTACTCTTCCTATACTTCCTCAAAATGCCTGACTCCATCCCATTGCTAATTATAGCAGCAATCACTTATGTTTGTACTTTCTAGACCTCACTGACCTTCTGTTCTGGCATTGGTGGGTTGTTTTTGAGTTTTGCCAAAGCTTCCTCTTTGGGGTCACCCTTCTTTAGAAAATGCCGCGCAGAGTGTCTGTGAAGAGAATAAAAAAAACGTATATTAACAACAATAAATAAAGAATTGTTTCATAGCCATGAAACCAGAAAAATCAGCAAGCTCATATTTATTTGCTTTGAACATGGGATAGCATGCAAATGTATTTTTGGGTTGTGTCTATGTCACAACCCAAATACATTTGGTGGGATAGTCATTGTGTCTGTGCAATACTCTCTGTTCCTGATTTGAGGCAGCCAGATGAGTCAACTAAAAGGTAACAAGGAAAAGCCCTTATACTAAGGAGGGTTTGATTGCACACTTAAAGTATGAGTGAGTTAATCAATCATGAGTTGGCAACTGTTCTTCTGAGGGTATATAAGACTGAGAACAACTGTGTGGGTCTTCCCTCCATGCAAAATTAAGTAAAGTGATTTGAGTCATTACATTGTTCTTTAAATTCTTCAGAGAATCACCACTTTTAACATTCAAGAATAGTTTCCTCTACACCCTTTCTTGAAATAGATTTTCATCCATCCTAAAAAAAGAAAACCATTTCAGGGTGGCTGTGGTTGAAGGTAGAATGAGAACCTTCCAACCAGAAGGTCGGCAGTTGGATTCCAGTCTTCCCCATCTGCATGCCACAGTGTCCTTGGGTAAGATACTAAACACCTAATTTCCCCTCATAGAAAAAAGTGCTGACCATAGATTCACTGTATGAATGTGTGTGTTAATGGGTGGATGGCAATAATACTAGAAAAGTGCAATATAAATCAGTTATTGTATTAAACCTGCCCCATTTACCACTTATCTAAAATGGGACAGGTTTAATACGATGGCTTATTCATGCAGTGCTTTTCTAGTATTAGTGCTTACTGATTTTGGGATCTTTACAAACACAATGGCTTAGAAACAACTACCCACCACGAAGAACTACCTATTCTCCTTTGCCTACAGCTGCTTCCAGAATTAGTGCCTTGACAGCATGGACATGATGTGTGTCCAGAAATCTGAAATCTGTGATTGGCTAAACTGTAGTTAAACCTTTAAAACTTTGCTTTCAACATTTACATCTTTTTAATGTCATGAACTGTGAGTATGTTTTCAGACCAATGCAACAACTGTGAGACAAAGTTCAGAGACATCCAAGTGTTTAAGTGCAGAATGATGTTGACTCCCATGCATATGTTATGCTTCATACAGTTGCACATTTGTGATAAAGAGGTGTTGAAGGTCCAAGTAGGATCCAGTAGGTTATTAGAAATGGTGAATATTTGTGAAGAGTGTACACAAAAGATGGAACAGTGAAACTGACCTGACAGGCTCAAAGGGTTTGGGCTCTGGGAGGGCTCGGCTGTTGTACTGTCTTATGATTTCTCTGATGTTGGAGGTGGGTTGGAACCGAGACTCAGGCATTTCGATCGGAGGATCTGCAGGCAATTTGATCGGAGGATCTGCGGGCATTTCGATCGGAGGATCGGCTTCCTTAGAAGTAAGGACAACGGGACCCTTCACTGTACAAGAAGACAAACAGAAAATGTAGTGGTTCTTTATATTGTATAAAGTGTGTTGGAGGTAAGTCTCAAACCGGACCGTGGGTTACTAGTACTATAATAATAAATAACGTACACGGAGGCGAGGTAACTAGTATGCAAGCTTTAGTGGCAGTTCAACGACCAACAGACATCAGCAATCGTTCGCAGCACCCGGAGTGCCGCAGGCTAATATAGTCGAGCACAGAACGCTCGATCAGATACACCACAGAAAATATATTTCAATATATTTCAAGCTCGTTGTATTCACCGCGGGAGCTTTCCTAATTTATTCTGGTCGGAGTCTACATCCCTCCTCAGGCCTGTGTAACTGAGGCGTTACAACACCTGGCTGACCAGATAAACAACGTGGAGAAAAAACACCTGGACTCTCTGCTCATTGTGTTGGGGATTTAAACAGAGCAAAGCTCAGCCATGAACTGCCTAAATATAAACAGCACATTAAGTGTCCCACCAGGGACACAAACACTCTGGACCAGTGTTACACTGTTATTAAGGACTCATACTGCTCTGTCCCCCATGCAGCCTTGGGACTCTCTGATCACTGCATGGTTCATCCCGACCTACAGGCAGAAGCTGAAATCTGCTAAGTCTGTGGTCAAGACGGTGAGGAGATGGGCCGACGACGCCATAGTGGAATTACAAGCCTGCTTTGACTGCACTGATTAGAGTGTTTTTGAGGCTGCAGCCTCAGAGCTGCATGTACTGACTGATACCGTGACATCATACATCAGTTTTTGTGAGGACATGTGTGTGCCCACCAAGACTTCCGCACATACAACAACAACAAACCCTGGTTCACTGCAAAACTCAGGCAACTCTGTCAGGCCAAGGAGGAGGCCTACAGAAGTGGGGACATAGTCCTGTACAACCAGGCCAGAAACTAACTGACGACCAAGGTGAAAGCAGCTAGGAGCTTAGCTGAAAAGATCAAAAACAGCCTTTTTCAGTGTGGAGAGGCCTGCAGAACATCACAAACTACAGGAGACCATCCCCCAACACTGCAGTGAACAATCAACTGGCTAACGAGCTGAATGTGTTTTACTGCAGATTTGACTCATTCACACCTCTCCCCCCATCAGACATTAAAGACCCATCCACACCCCTTCTGCCACCTCTCCCCTCTGACCCCCCACCAGCACTCAAGATCTGGCAAAGTCCCCTTATGCTTCAAACTCTCCCCAAGAAACCCACTATCACAGGACTGAATGACTTCAGGCCTGTTGCCCTCACGTCTGTAGTCATGAAGTCCTTCGAGAGACTGGTATTGTCGCACCTGAAGGACATCACAGACCCCCTGCTGGACCCCCTGCAGTTTGCATACCGGGCAAACAGGTCAGCGGATGATGCTGTCAACATGGGACTGCACTACATCCTGCAACACCTCGACTCGACAGGGATGTACGCCAGGATCCTGTTTGTGGACTTCAGTTCGGCGTTCAATACCATTGTTCCAGACATCCTCCACACCAAGCTCACCCAGTTCACTGTGCTCTCCTCAACCTGTTAGTGGATAACAAACTTCCTGACTGACAGGAAGCAGCAGGTGAGGTTGGGGAGCATCACATCCAGCACCCGGACTATTAGCACTGGCGCCCCACAGGGGTGTGTGCTCTCCCCTCTGCTCCTCTCCCTTTACACCAACGACTGCACCTCCAGAGACCCGTCTATTAAACTCCTGAAATTTGCAGACCACACAATGATCATCGGCCTCATCCAGGACGGTGACGAGTCTGCTTACAGACGGGAGGTTGAACGGCTGGTCTGCTTGTGTGGTCAGAACAATCTGGAGCTGAACACGCTCAAAACTGTGGAGATGACAGTGGACTTTAGGAGACGCCCCCCCCACTCTGTCGCCCATCTTCATCATCAACAATTCTGTGACTTGCTGTTGAAAGTTTCTGGGCTCCACAATCTCCTGGGAGTAGAGAGACCAACACAGTCACCATCATCAAAAAGGCCCAGCAGAGGTTGTACTTCCTGCGCCAGCTCAGGAAGCTCAACCTGCCTAAGGAGCTGCTGTCATAATTCTACTCTGCCATCATTCAATCTGTTCTCTGCTCCTCAATCACTGTTTGGTTCGGATCGGCCACAAAACAGGAAAAGAACAGATTGCAATAAGGACTGCAGAGAAAATTATTGGTGTCAGCCTGCCCTCCATCCAGGACCTGTACCTGACCAGAGTCAGGAAACGGGCAGGTAACATCTCTGCAGACCCATCACACCCTGGATACAAACTGTTTAAACTTCTCCCCTCTGGTAGACGCTACAGAACACTACACGCCGAAACATCCCATTATAAGAACAGCTTTTTCCCTCAGGCTGTCTCTGTGTCAAACAGCTAAAACCAGACTCAAATATCAGTAACATCACCTGTAAAATATCTGTACATACCAATATACTGTGCACACTGTATATGTATATTTATTATTTCATCCATGCACTATGCACCACTGCACCAACTATTTAGCTTTTTGTACATGTACATAGCTTTTGTTTTTGTTCTTGTTTATCTCTATGTTTGTTTGTTTTTTTCAACAGTTTGTACTAAGAGAGCAAAGTAAAACCGGAGTCAAATTCCTTGTGTGTGTTCACATACCTGGCAATAAAAGTGATTCTGATTCTGATCCATTCAATTAATTTTCTATAAAACTGATTTGCATCTTCCCACACAAAATAAAAACAACACAAATGTTATCACAAAAGAAGATCTCTGCGTTTTCCTCTGGGGTAATCTTTGAATCATGATCTACATACTATATACTAGCAATTTAAAGGGTAAATTAAAGTTGGAGCGATATCTTATTGTGTTTTGTTATCCTGTCGTCAATGCTGACTCAGCATTCCCATGACAGTGTATTTGTTTTGTCCTATATTTGTACTATAATTTTTTATGCTACAATTGATGCTTTTTATTTAATTTTTGTACAGTATTTTTCTCATCCAAAATTAGGAAAATTTGCAACTCATCTTTGAAATGTTTATTCTTTTTCTTAGAGTGCAGACACTTTTCTGCTTAGTCTCGCTTCTGCTTGCATTTTTCTATTTTTTATCTTTGTTTTTCTGACATGAGAAAGTAAAATCAGCAACTTCTTGATACAGACAAATAACTGGGAAGATATTTTTGTTGATATAGATGGTTATTTCTTCTTTTTTATCAGCTTGTCAGTATTGTGATTGTGTCCTACCAACACCACAAGCCTGCACAGTGATTGGATACTTTTTATCTAGCCAAATCTAATTGACAGCAAGATGCGCCCCTTCTCTTCAGATGACTATACCACAAACATCTACAAAGATTGTAGTGCTGGAAACCAAAATTCACCTGTTAGAAGTGAATATGGAGGTAAGTGGACCGTGTGGAAATGACACTTCTTTACCATGGACTCATAATAGTGGGCAGGAGTATGCTAACAAACAGCTAACAAGCACCAACAAGACTGTCAAGAAACAGGAGGGCTGTGTGGCAATCCTCCCTGGAACTCTGGAACTTAGGAGGACCAGGGAGAACCCAGCACCCGGGGATTTATGACACGACTGGCAGGCCTGATTTTATCATCCCCTTCAACTCCTGCACAGAGCAGAAAATAGCTGTGGATAACTGCAAAAGGGAAATCTTATAACAAACCTTCCAAACAAGACTTTATTGATCTGTTGAACACAGTCAGCTGTCTGAACGCTGAGGTTCTATCAGTGGCCCTTTACCACCAGTAAGAAGAGGAGCTGAGAGACTGTAGTATAATTTTTTGGTCACTATACTATGCCACATATAAATGTCACTATATACCTTTAATTTGCACCACAATCTAATGTGTGTTACAACATAATTTTGTAAATGGTTACAACAAGTTTAACACAATGATTACGAATCAAACAATATACTCTGTGTGTATCAACCAGTATGATGTGTATGTATACCTTGTGTGGAGTAAAAATAATCTTGTAAAAAAGGCAATCTGACAAAGCTAAAACATAATGGTGTCAAAAGCAATCGCTATGTCTTTAAACAAATAAGTAAATGGTTTGAACAGAATCTAATGGTGTCTAGAGTAAACACAATGTCTTTTAAAAAAATAGTAAACGGTTTGGACAGAACATAATGGTGTCTAGACTAAACACAATGTCTTTTAAAAAGGATAGTAAACTGTTTAAACAGAAGATAATGGTGTCAAGGACATCAATTGGGAAGTCCCAACAGTAAACCTATGGGCTTAGGCCACGATGTACTGTTGGACCAATGAAATGCTGACAGGTGTGGCCACGATGTAATGATAGACCAATGAAATGCTGACAGGTGTGGTCTCTAAGGGTTTATAAGAAGGAGCCACACCACTGTCGAGCAGAGTTCTTCTCTGGTGCTGCTCAGGCACGCTACTGAATGCTCTCGGGTTTCTTGTCGACAATAAACTCTGTTGCCTTTGAGTTGACTTCTCCTGTTTTTCATTCGACTGAATTTTTTTACCAAGATTGAAACTGAGTTTTCATAACATGACTCAGCAGATTGTAGGCACTGAACACATGGCTTTCAACTGCATGTATTGCCAATTTAGTGCACTTTATTGTTAACTTCAACTTTTTCTGGGACAGCAGACATCTTTTTAAGGCAGATGGACCCCTCAACAAGGCAGGAATAAAACTTTTCACCCACAAACAATTTTTCTTCTTGCATCAACCATCTGTTCCTTCTGCCAAGGAAAAGAGGAGTCAAAACGGTAGGAAGTCAAAATACAGCTGATACCCTGAAGGGGAGCCATCAGATGTCCCACCAGATATAAGCTTTAATCATGGGGAACGTCAGAGCAAAGAAGAAGAGGATGTGACACACCTTGCACCAACAACTGCCTATGAGAATTCATCCTCGTGTCTAATAACCCTTTCCCCTTCCTCCCTACTCTTGGAGTTCATTGACCACATGAAAAAAGTGGTCACTGCTGGGACCCAACTTACCCCCTGCCCGACCACCATTTTCTCGACCCTAATTCCCTCATAACCCTCTCATCCACCTTCACCAGCTTTGACACAACAGTCACAGCCACGACGCCCCACACCTCCCCCATGCCCCCATCTGCATCAGAATCATCCCCCACCCTGGAACAACCACAACACACTCAGAAGTTTGTATCTCAATCTGACATGTTCCGGGTCCAGGCTGCAATACAAGGTTAGTGTCCCTCGTGACTCATCCCAATACAAGCTGGGGCCCAATGTGCCACAAGCTTCCTCAATTCCTGTATTTATAGGCAACAGAAATAGAATTACCAATCGACTAAGAAACAGGGAAACATCATATTTAGCACCCATTCCTCGTCAAATACAGTTTGTCCCTAAAATTGGAAAGATAATGATTTCAACACATTTCATCTTGTTATATCAAACATCAGATCTTTGGCAGCCAAAACATTTGTAATCAATTATTTTATTATCAAGCACAACCTTGATTTTATGTTCTTAACTGAAATTTGAGTGGACCAAGATAATAGTGCAGCTGTTCTTATCGAGTCAGCCCCTTCCAACTTCCTTTTTATTAGTGAAACTAGATTAGATAAGAATGAATTGAGCCATGTACCTAAATATCTATAGGCCACCTTAATACTGTGCAACCTTCTTTGGTGAATTTGCTGAACTTCTATAAGCTGTGTTGTGTTGACTTTGACAGTGTGGTTATTGTTGGTGATTTTATCATCCATGTTGACAATCCCAAGGAAAGAGGCATTAAAGAATTGTATTTTCGATAACTATTGCCTGACAAAACATGTGATGGAGCCCACACACAAAGCTCTGTTACGTTGAAACCATGGTTCTCTGAGTGAAGAGACTATCTCTCCACTGTATTAGATATGTACAGCGAATTAACTCCCTGCTGTCTTGGTACGTGGATTTCTTTAAGACACACCAGCTTGTCCAGCCACACCCTAGAGTTTACCTGTAAAACACCTGTTTTGGCTTGGAACCAGTTGATAGTTTATTCGACATCTCTTCAAGGTTACATATCCGAGCATTCTCTATCATAAAGAGAGTTTCTCTCCATTGCATTACATATTCCATATGTACGGGGTAACTCTTTAAGACACTCCATGTGGAGACAGTGCATCCCATAAGTGGATAGTGACACTGCCAATTTTAGAAATGTATTTCATCATTTGAATACCAACTGGGGCGAAGCCCCCAGAACATTATTGTGATGGGGTGAGCTTGACCCGTGATGGGGCAAGAACAACATTTTACTGGATTTAGTTCATCCCAGTGTGAAAACTTACACCCTACACCAGTCACACAGCGCCCCATTGTTTCATGTGCAAGAGAACAAGAGTCAACTCACAACTGGGGCTGAGGCAGGTTTACAAAGCCTGCTGCTTCTCTGCTCTTGGTCAGCACAATAGTTGCCCTCTTAGAGTCCAGAACCCTGCCCAGATATGTTGTCGCTTTGTGTGGCTGGAACTTGCTTCTTTTTCCGTCAAGGCGCACACTCAAGTCTTCAATGTTGCTCCAAAAGCAGGGCTACCTGATAGCGGCACTACCCTGAGAATGAGCAGACCAGCCAAACACTGTACCTTTAGGCTGCAAGGAGGACACTCTAACATCTGAGCCACACAGAACCATGTCGCTGCCATGATTTTTGAGTGGACTTTTTACAACTCACGAGAATGTCTTATATCTTTGGCCATACTTGCTGGAAGCGGGGTCAGGTAGAAATGTGAAACTTTACTTCCTTGTTTACTACCAGCTTAACCTTGGATCTAAGCAAGGAAGCGAGTCAACTAGCTTTGCCAATTCTACCATCGAGCCATGACTAGCAATGCGCCATGCTTGCCTTCCATGACTGGTCAGTGTTCACGTCAGAGTTCTGCATGTGTTGAATCAGTTTACAAATGATGAAAGTGAACGTGAGTTCAGGACTCCCAATTTAACAACAGGTATAAGGATACAATGCTATAACCCACATGCTTTTACACACAACAACATTTTGTGCTCACTACAACATGAAACGTGACGCACACAGCCAGGACTCAGTGTTAAAGTGAGCGGAGTGACACGGATTCATGATCCGACACCACTGATTAATAAATAAACACATGATCTTGATCTAAATCATCCCAATAAAAACAGAACAAATGAAACTAAACTAGTTCATTTTCATCTGTATGAAAATGAACTAGTTGTAGAATGCGCTCATGGAATAGCCCATTGTAGTGGGGACTGAAGGGGGAGGAGGGTTTGCTGAGACACTAGTTACTCATATATTATAGGCATTCTGATACCGTATGGATTTTTAGAAACAAATTATTAATAAATAAAAAAAATAAAAAAACGTATCCATAAGTTTATTAGGGGTTTTATGGGGCCCAAGGTAATTGCACACCTTTGAATAATGGTTAAGTCCGCCTCTGCATACACACATGCTCTTTTCTGAAATCTCACATACTTCACCCTGACACAGTTGGAGATCAAACAATCAACCTATTCCACGCCAACACAGGTGTTTCATAGGTAAACTGCAGGGCGTGGCCAGGTAAGTTGATGTGTCTTAAGAAAGTATCCATGCACCTAGACAGCAGGGGGATCATTACCATTACATATGGGATATGTTACGGAGTGGAGGGATGTGACAGAGAACAAAGTGCACACTCTGGACTTAACCCTCTGACAGGATTGCCCATACAATAGCTGTAATATGCACAATTATGATGTGGTAAAGTAAGTTAGCCAGGTGGATGTGCCTTGACATTGCAATGAACCAAGTGGTTACATTGTTACAAGAACCAGTGGAAAATATGCCAGTGTTATATCACCTATCACCATAACAGACTTTCCCTTGAACTCCTCTTATTGCAGTCATCAAATCGCCTGGGCTATTCTTTCATATTGATTCAGTTCTTTATTTCAGTGACATAGCGACATAGACCCACAAGTGACACAGCGTTATTAATGTCTTAATTGCCCTGCTGACACTGCTAAAATAGAAGACTTTAATCTCAAAACTCATAATGTTTCCCTTTATTCGTTGATGTCATTTTCATTAATGAACACTTCCTGACATACAGGGCAGGAAGCAAAGCTTTATATTAGGGCTAATTTGCTATCCTATTGCACACTTGCTCATATTTGCACAGTTAGCATTCATCATCTGCACATTTTTCTGAAGTTAGAAGGATTATCTAATTCTGACTTATCATGTTCTAACAAACTCACATGGACACATGTAAGAGACATTTGGGACAATAATACGAAAATGTTCTTGTATGAGGCATATTGTTATTTACCTTCAGGCTTAGGTGCTGTAGGTGGGGGTGATGGATGATTTAAAGGCAGGGGATGGTCCTGCTGTCCGATTGGGCAGGAGAGGACCAGATTAGGCTTTTGGGTTTTGATTTCACCTTGTGGCTGAGTGCCTTTAGTACAGTGAAGGAGAGAGATAATGAGGAGAACAAATTGGAAAATGATTCTGTCACGTATAACATTTAAAACACTACATTAGCTTTAAGACACTGAGACAATCAAACAAAGTCAGCAGCGTCAGCCTCCCCTACTCACCAATCTTTTGGAAGTATTTCCTCTTGTCTGTAAAAGACTGCAGATTATTTGGATCTGGTGTCTCCATTTCTCTCACTGGCTGTGGAACAAAAAGATACACATGCTAACACACTTAGTTACATCAAGGTTTCACATTTAGGGAATTAAAGAATAAAGTTGCATTATTTCAAATAAATCACATGTTCTGAGCTAAAATAACAATGAATTAATCATGCTCATCCTTCCATCTTTGGGTTGTGGCAGCAGCAGGGTAATCAAGATATCCCACCCCCCACCCACACTTTCCAGCACCTCCTAATGAGGTGTTACTGGCTAGATGGGATATGTCCTCCAGCAGGCTCTGCCAGACACTCAGCTGCAAACAATCCCAATGAGCACAGTACTGATAAAACCACCAAAAACATTGTAAGTGCAATGGGGTCCATTGGGATGTAGGAGAAATGTTTAAAGAGGTGGGAATTTAGGACCTCACAGACAGTGGTATCTTCCCTGTTCACCCACACTAGTCATTTGTTTTTTACCAAGTCCGTCCAGCAGCCTTCTGAGCCCCACAATCTGATTCAGCAAGATGCAGCAAGAGGAAAAACAATAAATAAGAGATGTGGACACACAAAAAAACAACAACCAAGGTGGGAAGTTATAAACCTGAACATGAATAGGGACAAGTTGTAGAATAAAATGAAAAAAGGAAAGTATTAAAAAAATCAGGCAGTGTAAGATAAAGAAAATATATACTACATACTTCTGGCTCAATTTGACTATAGGTAGAGGTGCATTTAGTTGTGGGTGTTTTGGACTGGACGGGTAGGGCTGAGGGAGCTTCGCTGAACCGCTGATCAGACCGTCTGCTCAACCTCCTCTCCTTCTCTTGCTCCTCCTCTTGCTTTCTCTCCTGCTCTTTCTGTTTCTGCCTCTCTTTCTTCTGCTGCTCTTGTACCTGCTGTTGGGACAGACTCATTGCTTGCAAGGTCATTTGTTGGGCCTAAACAAAGGGAAGAGAGAGGACAAAGTTAGGGAGACAAGAAATGGGTTGAGAGGCAAATGTAGTATTAAATAATTAATCATTATGTTGTAAAAATGATATGCTATTGATGCTTCTCCTCACCATGAGATATGCCTGCTGGTTGACGAGAGCCTGCTGTGCTGCTGCTGTCTGAATTGGGTCAATGACAGGAGAAGCAGGCATGGGAGCCTGAGTCATCATCATTGCTGTGTAGGGACAAATGTCAGATACAAGTCAGCTTTTTTAAATACATATCAAAGAAACACTGCATTTACTTTCATTAGTATTGTCACAGAATGACAATGACATCACATAACATTCACTGAACCCACTGTTTGTTCATGTATCTTTAAGATAGCGTTACATATTATAAAAGACCGTCTTCTTAAATGTTTCGTTTGTTCAGAATGCTTCTGCTACAGTAAGTACACAATTAGATTTTCTTCAATTTACATAGTGTTACGGTCCCTGTGAAATGTTTTCTTGTCTCTGCATTACTCATACAACTACACAAAGAGTTAATGTAAGGGGATTACCTGGCATGGTTGGCATGCCTGTCATGGTTGGCATGCCTGACATGGTTGGCATACCTGTCATGGTTGGCATGCCTGTCATGGTTGGCATGCCTGTCATGGTTGGCATTGTCATGGTTGGCATGCCTGTCATGGTTGGCATGCCTGTCATGGTTGGCATGCCTGTCATGGTTGGCATCATAGGAGATGCATAATAACTGGGCATTGAAGAGTTAACTGGCATTCCTAGAGAGAAACAAGAGTTGACAAAGTGTAAAGTTTGATTTTGGGACAAAAGATTTCGGCATGTATGGGCTTTCTACGTACCCAAAGGATAGCTTGGCATTGGCACTGGAACACCTGAAATGCAAACAGCCTTATTGCAGTTTAATTCAATAAATTACCATTTGAACAGACAGGCAGGATATATTGTAATTCTGCTCCCAGTTTTCTGATATTATAATAATAATAATAATACATTTTATTTGTATAGCACTTTTAAAAGGTACTCAAATGCACTTAACATGGTAAAAACAGTAACAACAGGGTAGTTAAAATATATTTTGCATTAAAAGCAATTATGTTACATAAACAATAAAATCACAGATTAAAAGCAGATTTAAAAAGATGAGTTTTGAGTCCATTTTTGAAAATGTATGGTTAAAAAGACCAGGATCTAAAAGTGGTTTCTAAAGATGTGGCCTAAAACTAGATAAAAAGTCAGATCATGACAGAACCCCTGACAGGGGTGGCTGTGACTGAGGGGTAGAGTGGTCATCCTCCAACCAAAAGGTCGGAAGTTTGATCCCCACTCTTCCCATCTGCATGCCAAAGTGTCCTTGGGCAAGATGCTGAACCCCGAATTGCCCCATAAAACAAAAAATGTGCTGCTAATAGATGCACTGTATGAATGTATAGGTGAATGGCAAACTGTAGTGTAAAGCACTTTGAGTGTTTATCAAGACTAGAAAGGCACTTTATAAATACAAGCCATTTACATGTGGACAAAACACCGTCTAGACTCACCACCTTAACAGTTATGAGAACAAAATAAAAACATTTCGAAAATATAATGGCAGTGGTTGTTTTTTCAAACTGACCTTCTCAGGATGAAAACTGACCTGAGAATGTTTATAATATATGACTATGTGATTATGTATATACACAAGATGTGGACTATATTGTGTTGATGATAGTTTTCATACCAGATCCATATGTACCAGGATGCATTGGTCCAATCCCTCCTCCTCCTCTCATCCTGTTGTTTAACATTGCTACTCTTTCCATATCCTACACACACACACACACACGCACACACACACACACACAATTACGTAATACATCTTGAGTGACAGAGCAGCCACAAAAGAAAAAAATTGCAATTACAGCAAGAAACAACCTTATGACTTCACACTCCCAATGAAGTATATGTAATAATACAAACAATATAAAACTAAAGTATTTTCTGAAGAACAAGGAAACATAAACTTTACATCTATCACAGGTTACTGTTATATAATAAAAATAAATATAATGAATTCACTGACTGGAGGTCCTTGGTCGAGTACAGGATCAAACAAGTCATCAACGTAGGCATCTATCTGTTGACCGTGCCCTGCAAACAGAGAGCATGTACATGTTAGAAATGCACTACATGTGAACAAAATATCGAATCTTGTATATATTTCCATTACCAAACAGCACCTGTGTGTACAAAATAATTCAACAATGCATGGATGGATTTAATTGTTGCATGAATGCCAAAGTGATAGTGAAAGTTTATGCTGACTTTTGCCTGAGGAAGAGAGTAAAACCTTTATGGATGTTTAAATGTCCACCAACATGGGTAGAATTTTTCCCAGTGCTGCTGATGGTCAAGCTGAGTGTTGTCAGTTTTTTAATTTTAATTCTACAGTTGTATGATTAGTTGTAAATTACCATAATATTTTATAATTTTTATCTTAAAAAGGTGTACAACTTTAATTTGTTTTAATGAACGGAAATGTTGATCACACATACAGAATATTTGGTCTATGCTGCAAACAGTTTTTAAACACATGAACATGTTGAAGAGGAGAATATTTTGTCATCCATCTTTAGATTTTACACACTGGTGTTTACATATCAAATGTGTTACATGTTCCATAGTTTTACTGCTACAGCTTTTGGTTAAATTGTTCCTCCAAGTGTTGCCTGGTCATTCTGAAAACCAAGTTTATTTTTGTTCCGAGAAAAAAGAGATTGCTCAGGAGATGCAACCGTAAGTCTGTGGATGCAGTTCACACCGTGTGCGCACCATTCACCAAGACCAATCTACATCGAAATGGCCCGGTCATGATGGGTCCCGTCAGGCTCAGGTCAAATATCCACAGATGCTCAGCTGAGGGTTCGCCTGCAGTGCTGTGTTTACAATCATGCACAGCTTCAGCTCAGATAACTCTGTGGACCTTCCTTTTCTTTTCCCTTCCCCCTCTCTCTTCTGTGTTTGACAATATTTATTTTGACTTCAAATCTGAGATCAAACATTTTTTTAAATTCAACTATACAAGAGATTTCACTGAATTTGTAACTGCATTCCATGTAATTTTTTTTTTTTTTGTAGTATTTTATATTCACTGCGACACTACAAATTATTACAATCATCTTAAATGTTCTTTTCAGTTTCTGTGATTTCTCTGTATGCACAATAGACTGTATGGTGTGCACACAGCACTGCATGCTCTTTCATGGGCATATGCTATTTGATAAATACAAGATTATAGACATGAACAAATCTGCAGTTTAAGAATGTGTCATGTGTGAGGGGGGATGGCAAATTAGCAGGTTATCAGAGGAAGGTAAAATGCATGCACCAACTTAAAATGGCAGTGCCTCCAATAGCCTTGTACATCGACTAGAAAATATATCTTTTATTGAAAATAAGAGAACAGTCTGGCAATGTTTGCAGTTCTTAAAAAGACCAGAACCAATGATTTGGAATTGAAATGAAAAAAGTATCCAGTATACTCTTATGGCCCATAGAAAGTTGGACCATGTCAGAATTAGATGGATTGAATTTGACATTAGCACATTTGGACCCTTGCATAAGCAGAAACCACAAATTTGCCACAACACTTACTTTCACGTGGAAAATCTGATTCCCAGGGGCTTCTCTCATACGGGGGAAGCCCAGGAGCTTGCACTGGTGGTGCCGGAGGGATGAGGTCATCTATATCTGTAGCCAGCATTCTAGAGAAAAATAGACAGAGAGATGGAAAGAGACATGGTCATTCTGGATTGCCCCCAAAAACCGAATTGTTCTACAACTGCTTCACCTGTCTCCGTGACTGCTGAACAGGTAGTCAGAGTTCGTAGAGGAGGATGATTCTATTGGTGGCAGCACTTCAGCCTCTGCTCCAGCCAGCAGATCCATGACAAAATCTGAGCCAGCCAGATCTGACCAGCCTTCATCACTTAGCAGAGACACTGACCAGCCTTGTACTGCCTCAGACACACCTCTATGACACAACAAGAAAAATAGAGCAAGAGAATCAGGGAGAATGTCTTATCTTTAATAGAGACACATTAGTACCTTGGAAGTTTGGCATTAGATGAGTACCTGAAATGAAGAAGCCACGATGCTAGCTGCTCACCAGTGGTCCATGACTCGACTTCAGCTGTCAGCGTCTCATCTGTAAAAATGTCAGAGGATGATATTCTTATCCACAATGTTTTTATTTCACTTCTTGTCTGTTAGTTAGCTCAATTACACATAAACTTCAAGAAGTGTTGAGATCCCCATGCCTGATCACTGTTAAAGACTCCTGTATTAGACATAAGAGGACATGTCTGAGCAGGCTTGGACTTATTATTGCATGTTTTACTCAGTCCATAGCAACACCAAACAATACTGACTTCTTTTTCACATTAACCATGTGATTTACATCCAAAAGAGTGTTATGACTCAATATTGAAAGTATGTTTGAGTTGCATTATTCTATATACTGAAAGTTAGGAAAGTTCCCACACATACTGGAAAATAGGGAAGTACATCACTTACTGACGAAGACAGTGTGTATGTCTATGTATATAAAATAGATCTTCATGTTATGAGCTTCCTCCAGCAAGAAACAGAGTACTCTTACTTTATCGTCAGCAGTTTGAAGGAGTAGAGGATTTATTCTATTTTAATCTGACTGAGCTGTTTGCATTGCCCTTATTAATCAGTATTTACCAAAAATTTCAAAATTGGCATTTAAAGAGAAGTTGTGGACATTCACTTCTTCCAAGACTATAAACTAATGTGTAAATGTATATTTAACAAAATTGATGGTTCTTAAAGATTACTTTAGCCAAATTGAATTAAAACAAATCCTTGAGACCTCACAAGGTCTCTAAACTAAATTCCTGGCAATCCCCCAAGAGCTCAGATCTAAGAGGAGAGCTGCCATTAACAAGTGGGACAGAAGTATCTAACTCACAGAGGGGTTACTTGTTTGGGTGCTTCATTAGTGGAAACAGGGTAGACACTTGGATGTAGGTAGTTAGAAGCCAGGCCAGACGCCACTTTCGTAATCAGTTTTAGAAACCCTATATGAACAGAAAGCTGGACCAGCCATCCCCTTACTTGAGCGAAAATCAATAGCAGTAGTGGGGTGCACATGCACGGGCATGAACAGCACACAGATTCTGAGTGACACGTACACAGACTAATGAGTAGTGGTAAAGTCTAGAAAGATACAAGAATTTAAATTAAATAAATATAGTTTTTTCCCTGTGACTGTGATACCCACCTTTTATTTTATCTTGAAAGGCAGATTGGTGAGGTCTAAGGTACATGCTACATTATTAATGGGAAAGAGTTTGCTTTTTGGTAAGATTTAATTTGAATTGCGAGAATTGTCCAAACTGACTGAGCAGCGACAGAACAGAGGGTAGTGGAGTACTTGGCTGTGAGATAAAAAGCAAAAGGTTCTTGTTTTTGTTGAAGTTATGTGACTGTCTGGCAATCGGATCTGATAAATATTTAGTTTGTTTTTTTGTAGAATTTGACAGTCTCACCATTGAAGGTTTGAACATCCACCTGCATGGTGCCCTTCCTCTGGCAGGCCATCCACTCTAGCTGGGTGGGTGGATAGATACGCAAAGTGGGAGCTGGTAGCTGCAGACTTGTCAGCATTTTGTGCTGGCACAGCGACCGGTACTCCTTTGGACCATGGTCTGATACATACCTACAAGACAAATACGTTATGACAGATTAAGTGGTGTTTTTCAGGCAGGAAATAATGAATTTCACCATAGGCTTTTGGCTGTACACATACATATTATTGTCATAACACATGCACATGCTCTCTATCATGATTTAATGATTTTCTCCAAAACCCAGTGTAATGGGTGAGACTGCACACACAGAGATTTCATTTGAACATTAGAACACAGCACCTCTAAAAAAGAAGCATGTAAAACATAGCAAATTAGCTCCCTGGTACAATTCCAACACACATGAATTAAAACAAGATTCAAGAAAACTAGAAAGGAAGTGGCGCTCCAACAACTGTGTTTAAAGTCACCTAGCATTGAAAGATAGTATTAAAGCATGTAAGAAGGCCCTCCACAAAGCAAGAGCTGCTTACTACTCCACATTAATAGAAGAAAATAAAAACAACCCCAGGTTTCTCTTTAGCACTGTAGCCAGGCTGACAGAGAGTCACACCTCCATCCAACCCAGTATTCCTCCTTCCCTGAAGAGCAATATCTTTAATGATAAAATTCTAAATATTAGAAATAAAAATACTGCCCTCAGTTGCCACTTATACACCATCAAGCACAGAAATCTCAGAAACATCTGATAATCCTACAAATTATTAGGCAGCTTCTCTCTGTTCACCCTTGATCAGCTGACCACAATAATCTCATCATCTAAACCCACAACTTGTATATTGGATCCCATCCCTACAAGGTTACTGAAAGAAATAATAATAGTACTTTACTGAATACAATCAATCTATCAATATAATCAGGAATTACCACAGTCCTTTAAGTAATCAAACCCCTTCTCAAAAAACCCACCCTGAACCCGGAGGTTTTAGCCAACTACTGACCAATAACCAACCTCCCCTTCCTGTCTAAAATCCTCGAGAAGGTTGTAGCCAATCAGCTGTGTGAGTTTCTGCAGGAAAGTGATGGGTTTAGAGCTCATCACAGCACAGAGACAGCCTTGGCAAAAGTCACTAATGACTTTCTAATAGCCTCAGAACAAGGGTTTGTGTCTGTCCTCGTCCGTTCTTAGTGTCAGAATCAGAAAAAGAGATCACAAGAGATTCCTGTGGAATCATCTCCCAGTTTCAGTTCCGGAGGCAGACACCCTCTTTACATTTGAGAGTAGGCTAAAAATTTGATAAATACGTGACTCATAAACTCTAGAGTGAATCAAACAAACAAAACGTTATCTTCAAGTACTATTCATGTCCTAATAAACATAATCGCTAATCGAAAGATAACGTGTAAAATGAGTGTAGGTCAGCGGGGAGTGAGGAGGGAGGACATTCAGGGTACATGGGCAGCTGCTGCAGAATGAATGCAGCTGGTATTCCAATAGTTTGTGAATGTAAATTTATTTGACATGAGCAAGATTAAGTCCGTTAGAGGTTATAAATGTCAGTTTTGATACAACATTTCTTGTATGCTGACAACCTTTTGCTGTTCATCTCCGACCGTGACATATCTATCCTCCGGGTGCTGGCAATTTTGGTCGCGTTTCAGGAAAAACAATAATGTGCCATGCCCAAGCCCAGTCACTACAGATCTTTGTCTTCTTATCTCTTTCACCAGAACTGATTGTACCATATACAAGTCAAGGTACAGAACCTCCCAAAAAAATTTCGGGGGAGTAATAATAATAATTATCTCTTTATAAATGTAGGGTCTGAGCATTGATGGTGTAATAAAGTGTACAATACACTCTGCACCAATCCCAATTATTTTAATGGCAATAAAGTTTAGCTAGCCAAAGTGTAGCACTTACTTGAGAAGGGGTTTGTCCAGTGTTAGTGAGGGGACAAAGGCACTGAGGCAGCAGGCCAGCAGCAGCCAACCCCTCATGGAGTCCTGCTCCTCCTGCAGGCCCAATGTGTGGTGAACTAACTGAGCCAGGATCTCATCCCTCAAAGCTGGCCGGCTCTGCCCCTTCTCCACGATGTAGTTACCCAACATCTGCTCCTGCCAGCTGCTGAGGTCTGTCTCCCCTGTAAACCGTAAGATCTGAGGAGAAAAGGAATGAAAATAATAAGTTGACTGCGATAAACTCTAATTTGACGTGACCGTTTGTCAATAAAACACTACAATTTACCAGTTTGTGAATTTCCAGGGCGGTTTTTGCATCTTCTGGCTCCAGAGAGGTGAGAGGCCTTTGAAGGGAGTATCCCTGAGGCTGGCACCATGTATCCTGTGGAACATGAAGGCATGAAATAAAATCTATATCATTTCATTCACTTAAAGGTCCAGTGTGTAAGATTTAGACAGAAAAAAAGCATACGACACAGACAACTCGACAAAGACCAAACTGAAACTAGCAATAAGAAACTAGCAACAGAGGAAACAAATCAAATCAAGACCATAACTACAAATCAAACAGAAAACACTGAATTAAAACAGATAACCATGACAGGTACAATATACATTTATATTTGTTTTACTGTTACAGCTACAAGATCCCTATTGAAATGTATTGAGTTATTATTTTTCTTGCACCTAGAGTAATGAATCACATATTTGGCAGCGTAAATACACGTAACTTCAGCTGAACTTTGCACAAAAATGAGATGAATGAGAAATATGTGTGAAATGGTTTTCCCGCGAGTGTTCATTCACTTCCAATATGGTTGTGGTAAAATGGTTCAATAGCTCCCCCTACTTAATTTCAATGAGCAGCCCCAGCATTACTATTTACCGACATGTATGAAAATTGGTTGGTACATGTACTACATCCAGACTTAGAAAAAAGTGTTTTTGACCCATACCCTAAATTGAACAGCAAGTTGTCGATGTTGATTGTATGTTTGTTTGGTTTATGTTACTTGCAGGCATTCTACTTTAATGAACTCCACCAACAGAATTAATCACATCGGTGTCACATTGCGGTCAGTGTAACCTAGCTCAACAATGAAAGTTTTTTCAACGGCATGCCCATGGCCATGTCGCAATGAAACAGGAAGTTTCACTAATTTGACTACACATTGGCCAATCTGCACAAGACGTAACATATTTCCTGACCTGGCATGACTACATTTACATGCCACAATTAAACATAATCATAGCACCACCTACTAGCAACAAGATGCACGCCTCAACAGGATGTGATATTTAACTCCTTCATGCCTTGTACGAATGCATAATGCAGTATCACATGGTGTCAACCAACCTCCAGCAACTACACTGCAGCACATACCGACACAAATTTGAAAGAATATGGTGCAAGTCTTCTTTATTTTGGAACAATAGCCACATTCTATCTAGGGGGAAACATTCACCGACAAACACAGGGAGGATAAAGGTATAACTACTCTTCAGGCTATTAACAGAATAAGCGCTGTCCTTTAAGACCTTGTAACTCAATACAGTACTGATTAGCACATTATTTTCTTATACGTTAGAGTATATTCAGCCTGAGAGGGGTTCTCTGGGGCTTAGATTTAAAAGATAATCCTATTTTAAGTTGGATACATCATCTCTATATGAGAAATTAAATTCCTAGTAATATATTCACACATCAGGAATGAAGACCTTGGATAGGAATGTGTTAGTATTGGGGTAAGAATTAAAATGTAATAGAAATAGTGCCAGGACTTAAAAAAAATAAAATCAATAGTGTATATACATTTTAAATGCTATTATATGTTATATCTAATACCAAGAATTTGACACCAAATGGTATTTGCCCTCTATCCATATTGCTCCTTTGCCCCTACAGAACCCATGGCTCCTTTCGGAGTTTTCATTTCCAATTTCTTGTGCTCATCTCGATCCAGCTCAGCCTTTTAATGTTCTCTCTTTGTTTACTATGACTGTGACTGCATGACTACAGCACACCGCAAACTCTCTTTTTTTTCTTTTTCCAACCATCACCATGGATACCCTTAGATTAACTCCTAACCCCAATAACCTCTCAGACAGATTTATTCCATTGAACAGATCCTCTATGGTCATCGTGAGGGAGGAACTGTGCACTCCATACATTGAGCTCCTTGCAGTCTCTCTTCTCCCAGAGAATTTCCACAGCTTTTTCTTATTCTGGTCTACATACATTCCAAACATAGTGCATCCACTGCCACTGAATGTATCACAAGTACTATTAACAGACTCATATCACCTGACTCCCCCAAATTCATCCTGGGCTATTTCAACCACTGCTTCCCTGATAAAAATCACTAAAATGCTTTCGCCAGTATATCACATGTTGCACTCATCTGGGGAAGACACTGGAAAAATTATATGGCTCAGTCCCAGATGCAGTCCAACACCTTGTTCACTTCAGACTCCTCTGCATCTAACACCTTGCAGCCTGACATCCTGGCTGATAAAATCTCCTCCCGCTTCATCCACACAACCAACTCATTCTGTGGATTCTGGACTGTCTCACCAACAGAGCGCAGAGAGTCCTGGTCAATAAAATCCTATCTGACCTCCACCGCCTCCCCTCATCTCTGCTCTTCATTCTCTACCGCAGTGACTGCAGATCTACACAGACCTACACAGACCAGCGATCACCTGGTTAAATATGCCGACAACACAATTCTTCAGTCTCTGCTATCTGGCAGCTCACAGCACCATGGACTAGTTCTGCAGGAGTTTGTGGAGTAGTGTGGCACCTCTTGTGTGGAACTGAACCAAAAGAGATGACAATATTATGATAAAAAAAAAAATTTAGTTTTCTAAATGATTGATTTTCATTTAACAGACTGTAGATTCATTGTGAAGGCTCATTCTGGCTTTTAATTCTAATTGTGATCGATTTTTGTAATTGGACATACTTTGCATACTATAGAATAAAGGTGTTTACTGTAATAAGGGCCACCTGGTGTTTAAAGAGTGCCTTAATAGACATCTACCTAATGCTGCAGTGAACACAGGGAACCAGGTGAAGTGACGTTAACTCAGAGAGGAGGAAACAGGACAGGAGGAAGGACTAATGCTGACTTGTGACAATTCATATTTTGTCTATATCCAAATGTATTTTAGAATATAATACCAAATACCCTAATTGTAAGAGTGTCAAAATTAAACTACAAAATACAACAGCCATGCCATGTATCAAAATAAACTACTGTATTTTTTGTATTTTGAAAATACTTCTCACATAGGAAACCATATATATTTATATATATACACTGCTCAAAGAAATTAAGGGAAGACTAAAATCACACATCAGATCTTGAGGCTTTACTTGCAGCATTGGATGCAATGATGCATTGGATTTACAGTAGGTCAGGGGAACGTGAGGGCCAGTCAATGATAAATGCCTTAATCTTCTAGGAACTGCATACACACTCTGGCCACACTGGGCATATTCCTGCACCAGGAGGAACCCAGGGCCCACTGCACCTGCTTAAGGTCTGACAATCACTCTGAGGATTTCATCCCAGGAAATTAAACCTTTGAATATATTGAATGAAACTTTGAATATATTGAATGAAGTCTGAATATATGGAATGAACCTTGAATATA